GGTGGTGGTGGTGGTTGTATCTGTGCTATCAGCATCACTTGGGGTATTTACTGACTCACTCCCTGCAGGTGTAATGCCGTTTTCAGTCGTTCCACCATCAGAATCACCGGTACTCTCTGTGGACGAATTAGTGGGAGAAGTAGAAGTTGATGTTGTTGCGCTTTCAGTTTGACCAACACTTGAAGATTCACTACTGCTCCCATCACCTGGTGAGGAAGATGTAATGGAAGGACCAGCAGCTGGACCAGAAGGAGCAGCTTCGCCAGAAGCGCCTGCAGGAGGTTCGGCAGCAGTTTCTGCAGGATCGCGTTCACTGATAGAATCTTGGGATCTTTGTGCACCTTGAGGAGCGTCTTCATGTGTAAGTGATGCAGAGTCTCTTGCGGCAGGTTGCGGATGAGTGCCAGGACCAGCAACACCAACACCAACAGAAGAAGACGAAGAAGGATTACAAGTACCGCCATTGGAATCACCGGCTCCAGCTTCAGGACAAGCAGCACCAGGAGCACCTTGACCAGGAGAAGGACCACCAGTAGTAGGATGTGGGCCACCGCCACCTCCACCACGACGACAAGCATTAGGATCAGAAGATTCAGAACCTTCAGGACAAGGACCAGCAGAATCAGGAATAGATGGTGGTGGTGGATGAACGCCAGGTGCAGGGGGATGAACACCAGGTGCAGGACCACCAGGAGGACATTCAAGCCCAGAATCAGAAGGGCAACGAGTATCCGACTCAGCTTCAGGAGGTGCAGCAGCCCCACTGGTGGACACGCAGAGAGAGGCAACACTCAGCAGGAAAGCAAAAAAACACAACGCACGTTGCAGCACCCTCATCACGAAAAACTTTAATCCCTCTTGGTTTCTTAGGTATATGAACTGTTTAAGAACAAAACAATAAAATATAACAAAAGTAAAATAAATTAGAAACACGCACACGGGAAAGAAAGCAACAAACAAGCAACGATCACTCAAAAGAAGAACACCAACATAAACAAAAAAAAGAAGAATAAAGAGACACCTCACACAGAAAAGCCCACGCAAAAAAAATTATCAACAAATTACGAGCACAGCCACAAGTTGCATAAAAATAACACAGAGCCCGTACTGTGCATTTGTGCATAAGCAATTATGAATAAATATGTATCAGTTACTCTTTTTTTCTGCATAAAGCAAATCAACAAACCATAAGCAAACAAACAGATATTAACCATTAGCCCAACTTACCCAGTAAACACAGAAATATACACCAACTATGGGTGTAAGTCTATATGTGTATATAAGCAATTATAAATATAAATTCATCTGTTATTATTATTTCTTTTTCTTTCACTGCAAAAAGCAGTTCATCATTATCACACTGCAAGCCCAGGCACACACAGAGAGTCTCCAAGAACACACACACACACACACAATGGAGTAGCAATAATAATTATTATAGGATAAACATAGAGAGAGCAAAAACACACAAAACACACATTAACATTAAGAAATGAAAAAGAAATCCCAACAGGTGGAAGATTAGTTAGACTGTAGTGTGGATGTATGCATGCAAAAAAGAAAAAGAAAACAAAGGATGACCTGAGTCACCACCATCACACCACCACACAATCAGCACACAAGAATACAGGCCAGTGTAACCACAATCAGTAGTGGCACACGCACCCACACAGAACTGCTGATACTGCTGCTGCTGTCTGCATCACCCTTCTTGTTGTTTGTGAGTTCAGGGGGAAGTGTTGTTGTTGTAGTAGTAGTGGTGGTGGTTGATTCCTCATCATTATTGGGTGTATTGACATTGTCCCTCGTTGCATCACCTTCTGTAGGTGCAGGTGAAGTTGGTGAAGTAGACTGAACACCATTGCCTTCTTCTGCTTGTTGATTCTCGTTGTTTTCTTCAGTCCCTGTAGTGCTCTCTTCATTGGTAGAAGATGTTGTATTTCTCCCTGTACTCTCACCGTTCTCTCCTTGTGGCTGCGTTTCCAGGTTATCTTTTTCTTCTTTAGCATCACTGTGACCACCTTTCTCGTGTTCAGCTACCAGAGAGCTATCCCCTTGCTGTGCCTTAGAGCCCAAGTCTTCTCTTCCTCTCTGTGAATCAACATCAGAAGCTGGTCCAGACCCACCTGATGTAGAAGGAGCTGCAACACCAACAGGTCCACGCACTTCAGCAACAGAAGAGCCAGGATTTGCAGGATCAACACTTGCTTCTCTGTCACCTTTCAGAGTCGCTTCTTTGTGGACTTCTTCCGTTTCCTGTCTTTTCTCGGCGGATTCATGTTTCGTGTCGCTACCAACACTTCCTGCTTCTGGATGGTCTCCCTTTATTGTGTTCACGCTTGCACTTTGCTGTATTGGACCCTTTAGGCCAGCAGAGTGACCAAGACTGTTGCCTTTACCACTGTCTTCACAATGAGAACTACCATCTTCCACAGCAGACGAACCAGAGGGACAAGACGAAGCTGCAGAATGCAGATTGTCAGGACCACCTTCACCCTTAGGCCCAAGATCCGTAGGTGAAGGCTCAGCAGCTACCACATAACTGCACACACAATACAGTGCAACAGTCAGAACACAAAGGACGCGGCGTATTGACATCATTACTTTTCCCCGTTGGTGTTACTATCACAATTTGGTGATCTAAACAAAACAAAAACAGAAAGAGACACCAAAAACATAAATAAAGAAAAG